CAGTGCAGAGCAGAGCGGGACCATCCCCTCCCTGGCCCGGCTCGCAGTGCAGTGCTGGGTGCCCCCAGGACATGGGTGTCCCTCTTGGCTGCCAGGACACACTGCTGTCTCATGTTCAATGAGCCAACAGTGTCTGGAGTTAACTGGAGTCTTTCTTTTCTGCTTTGTAGGCTGAGCTCAGCAGCAGAAACCTCCTCCCCAAGCCCTGCTCCGTCTGCCATCATCCCCAGCAGCACCACGCCCAGCGCTTTCCATGCCCTGCAGAGCAGGCTGGTGGCCCGCAGTGCCCACTGCCTGCAGGCCCAGCCAGCCAGTACCCTCCAAGGTACCTGCCTCTCTCCATGTCTCTCTTGTGAATGTAAAAGGTAAACCAGGTTCCAAATCAGTTGGTGGATCCTCTTTCTTGTATTCCCTGGTTGCTTTGGGTTGGGCTGAGGCAGCGTTTGTAGAGTTTTGCTCTTGCAGAGCCCACAGAGATCCAGTGGGGACGTATAAAGCGAGGCAGAAGGTGCAGTAGGTGACCTATTAATTGTGTCATTTATGTGTAATGATGTCTTGAGATACCAAAACCGACCTCCTCTTGCTTCCTGGGTTTCACAGCTGACCTTGTTTGTAGCTGCAGCAATGAAATGTGTTGGACTGGGTGTGGAGCTGCCCTGGAGGCACGCTGCTTGGGACACTGCTCTTTAAAAAACAGATCTGCAGACACCTGCCATGTGACAGACCTGAAATTTCAGGGTGGTGACTTCTCCAAGTCAGATTTCTTTATTTTTTCCTTTTTTTTGTTGTCTAGGAGCAGCATCTGCCAGTAGCCTGCTGCAAGGGCTGAGCTTCAGCCTGCAGGACATCGGGACCAAGTCATCAGCCCTTCCTGCCAGCATGGCTGCTGCTGGGCCACCTGTGCAGGTATGAAGCCTCCAAACATCAGAGATCCCTCTCTGGAGGGAAGCTGTGTGGCGGATAAAGCAGTAGGAGTCGTAGGGAACCTCTATAGGACATGTTTGCTCCAGGACTGGAAGAGATGAGGGATGTTAGGTGTGAACTGCAGCAGAAATGATGCATCCAAGCCTTGGCTAAGGGTTCCTGTAAGTGGCATGAGGTCTGGGAAGCTGGGCTGTGGGAAGTTGTTTCTAGGTGACCACTGAGGAGGAGTTGGAGAATGGATTAGGGGGAATCAGCAACCTTTCTCTTTGTTCTTCTGGGACAGTGCCTGCCTGTGACCTCTCAGGCAATGCTCCCCATCCCTTCAGTTTGGGATGACCTCATTCAGAACAGATGGCTTCATGAGAAGTAGAGCCACAGTTTCCCCCAGGCCCGCTTTCAAGTTGACATGAGTATGTGCAGACTGGAAGGGACAAGTTTACTTGCTTTAGACCTGCTTGTGGCCACCAGAACAAAGTGTGGAAACTCTGACCTCTGAAGCTTCCATGAGAGGGAGAGGCTGTGCCATCCCAGCATCGAGAGGCTGTGCCATCCCAGCATTCCCTTTCCTTCCAGGTACTCAGTGTTTCTGCTTCTCCTTCCAGACCTCAGCTGTGAAGACACCTGCACCTATCCAGAACCTGAGTGCCATCACCACGGGCACTGGCACAATTGTCCGCACCATCCCGGTTGCCACCTCTTTGTCTCTGGGAGCCTCGGCGAGCGGGAAGCCCACGGCCATTCACCAGTTGCTGACAAACGGGGGGCTGGCGAAGCTGGCCAGCAGTCTCCCTGGCTTGGCTCAGATCTCCAACCAGGCAGCAGGTGAGGGAGAAGGGGGACAGGCATGTGATGCAAGCTCCTGGAGAACCCCATCACCATGACACCAGTGTTCCCAAAGCTTAGTTTCCCTTTGAGCCGTGGTCAGCTGCGTGTGCTGGCAATTTCTGAGCAGCTGCCTCTATAGAGAAGAGGCTTCTCCTGCAGCCCCTGGTTGGTGAACGTGGCCTCTGCAATCCCCGTGGCTCAGGGATGTTGTCACTCGTGTGTTTTTTAGGCTTGAAGGCTCCAACAACCATTACTGTGACTCTGCGTGGGCAGCCCAGCCGCGTCACCACGCTTAGCCAGGCTGCGATGGGGACTGTCCAGCCCCAGCTGGAGGAACAGCCGATGCAGACGCAGGCACCTCAGGTAATTTTTGACATCTTCTCTGTAGAGAAAGTGTCCTCTGCTGCTGCTGCTCTCAGCTTTTTCTGACCATCGTGGCCAAAGGCAGGTATTGCTGTCCTGGGGAAAGTGTTCTTGGTCGCATCTCTCTTGGGTGTGATGGGTTTTATGGCTTTGCTGAGGTCACGCAGAAAGAGGCGTCGTGGGGTGGTGGTTAAGAGGATCCAGTTCATCTTCGCGTCTGTTAGCAGCAGGGTGGATTGTACTCGATATCAAACACTGAGGAAATCTCCAGCTGGACTTTGAAAGCTGTGGGACATCAGCTGGAAATTGTTACTGAGGCTCCAGGCTGCCTTGGAAGGAGCAGGTTTTGGTGGGAGGAGGAAAGCTGCTTGTAGAGTGTCTGTCCCCTGCTGATTCAGGCAGGAGAGTGGGTTGGCTGTGCTGTCTGGAGCCGTGTTCTTCCTGAAAATGATGCCCTGGTGTTGGGGATACTGTCGTATTTCCTCCTGCAGGTCCCCAGCTCCTGCTCTTTCTCACTGCCATGCTCTTGAAACCAATTTATGACATGCTGAGCGCGTGCTCCAAGGTTTGATACACATCTCCCTTTGGAGGTAGGTCACTGACAGGAGGAAAAGCTTTTACTATTTGGATTCTCACCACGTACCAGGTACTGTCTCAAGTATCCTGGCTGCATTCCTACTTCCTAGGTTAAGCCTTGGTGTGGTTGAGTTGAAAACATAAGATACCAAATCATAAAGGGTTTTTTGTTGTTCTTGTTCACGTGGTAGTCTTGGGTACTGTGATACGGACCTCTCAACCCCAGGTCCTGGAGGCAGGGCTGAATTTACTGCAGGTGCATCCTTGTTCTGTCCTAAAACACTGTCAGTTTTGAGCTGGATCCATAAATGTGAGGGTGGAAAGGTTCGTTCTCACTCCCTGCACAGAACAGTTGGTCAGTGGTGGCTGTGATGAGCCACCAGTAAGGTTGACCCAAGCTCAGATGGCTTCTCCATGGTCCCAGCTCCAGCACTGTACAACACTCGGGTCTCTCCTGGGGATGTTTTCCTGGATGTAGGAGAAAACAGGCAGCTCAGGCCTGTGATCTGCCTGCCGGGATGGAAGGAGGGATGGCAGGAGAAGGGCTGCTGAGTGTATGCTGAGGGGTATAACTGACTGGCCAGCAGACACTGGCTGTAGTGAGCACAGCAGGCATTTGCAGGGAGAAAGTAGATCAAAAAACAAGTTAACAACCTCCCAGAGTGGTAAATGCTGCAGCTTGGGCAGTTGGACGAGTGTGGAGCATCCAGTGGGGATCAAACTCCAGTTCCAACAGGAATGAACCAACTGGCACTGAAGGTTGAGGGTGCCAAGATCACTCCACGTTAACAGCATTGTTTTACTTTGTTTTGTTTTGTTTTGTTTTTCCTCCTTTCATGTGATTTTCCTACTTTTGCTAGCACTAGCACAGGTCCCAGACAGGCGAGGTGGTGTAGGAGACTCGGAGCAATCTTGGTTCTGGAGCTGAAGCTCTGTAGTTCTGCTCCCTGTTGCTGGGCTGGCTCGAGTTGTGGGCAGCATCGCGGAGGCGGGGGGCGTGTTTCTACTCCTTGCTGCTATCTGCAGGGGTTGCTTGAAGCCCTGAGATATATTTAGAGAGGTGTTATCCTAAGGGTGAAGCCTTTGGGTAGATGTTGGGTAACTATTAACAGCAGCAGCCATAAATCCTTAATTTATTAAATCCTTAATTTATTAAATCCTTAATTTGTCCTGCGCTGCTTTAGCGCTGGCATTGCATCCGCCGTTGCCGGTAGTTTCCGCGCAGAGTCCTGGTTTACTGCTGGTAAAAGCTCAGATTTGGGACCATCCAAGTCCTTCCTCCCTTGACTTTTCTGTGTTTCTTTCAGTCATGACAGAGCCTGTGAGTGTTGGCAGAGCTGAGCTTAGAGCTGGAGCTTGGAAACACAGAGCTAGTGACAGTGGAGATCCCACCTAAGCAGCGGTTGAGTCGCTTTCCTAGGTCTGAAACTCCTCAGAGGCCGTTTTTATGCTCTTCAGCGGCTGTTTCAGGAACCACCAGAACTGGTGTGCTTTCCTTTACGTCATTTGTTACCTTGGAGAGACCCTAAATCCAGCAGAACAGTAACTCCACACTAATAAAACTTGGTCCAGCTGAACTCCAGGGTTAACGGGTTGGTGTAGGGGTTAATGGAACTGGAATATTGCATCGTCCACTGTGACTTTTAACTACAATGCTGAGCTTGTGTGTTCAAGGTAGACCTTAATCGTGTGGCTGGCTGCGAGAGTTGCTTCAAAAGCAAACTGAAAGCTGGTTTTTACAGGAAACGGACTGAGCTGTGTGTTTTGGTAACTAATTATAGCCCCTGACATCAGCTCGCGTGTACCTTTAGCACATAAGGGATTACGTAATCCAGCGGAGCTTCCTGTAAAAGAGCAAATTTACCAGAGGCTTTGGGGGATAATGCTGAGGGTTTTCAAACTCTTGTGTTTTCAGCAGTAGCCAAAAAGCTGTTGTTGGTTGAGTTCCCTTTGAAATTCCAGCTGACGGCTCGGCTGTGCCTGTGCAGGAAGTGTGGAGCCCACGCATCAGCTCTGTGCTGGGATTATTTTTTGGGGGGGGGTGATGCCTGTAGCAGCTGAGATGCAGTTTGAGTGGGTAACTCTTTTTCCTTCTCCCGTGGGCATGAAATGGGAGGTGGAAGATTGAGGAATCTCCCTGGGGAGTTTGGTGCCAGTGAGTACTCACTTGCTGTGAGGAGCGGAGTAAAAAGAAGCAGAAGTGTTTGGGTGGCTTTAAAGTGAAAATACAAGCAAAGTTGAGTTTCTCTTTTCAAGAAACCTCTCCAGGGTGGTTTGAACGTTTGGTTTTTGTCCAGGTTCCCCCTTGCAGTGTGGTTATATCCTGATAGTAGCTCCATAAAGCATTGAGTGATGCTAATCATAGAATCATAGAATGGTTTGGGTTGGAAGGGACCTTAAAGATCATCTAGTTCCAATCCCCCTGCCATCAGCAGGGACACCTTCCACTAGACCAGGTTGCTCAAAGCCTCATCCAACCTGGCCGAGAACACTTCCAGGGAGGAGCAGCCACAACTTCCTTGGGCAACCTGTTCCAGTGTCTGACCACCCTCACAGTGAAGAACTTCTTCCTAATATCTCATCTAAACCTCCCCTCTTTCAGTTTAAACCCATTTCCCCTTGTTTTGTCATTAACTGGCCTTATGAAAAGTCCTTTTTTTTTTTAATGTTGGATCATACTCTTGTTTTCTGCTTAGTGGCCCAAAGATTAACACAGTGATGACCAGAGATGTCATGGTTTGAGCTTTGGGTGAGGGTCTCCCTCAGATGGCACGAGGAGAGCTCTGACTCCAGCCCTTGCCACTGCCCAGAGCTGGCTGCTGGTGGTGGGTGTGCTGTGATCAGCCAGGAAACACCTTTCTCCTCCTGAAGTTTGACTCTTTCCACTCCCAGGGGCAGAAATATTAACTACAGGTAATGGAGCACAGTTAAATTGCTGCACAGGGCATGGAAAAGGAGGTTGTGACCTGTGTGAGCATCACGTAGGGAGAGCTCAGGCTTAAACTCAAGTGGTGCTTGTTAGTGGTGGAGGAAAGCGAGCGAGTTGGCTCAGAGAAGTCTGACCTAAGAGGTGAGTGTCTGTTTTTATAGCTGGAAAAGCTGCTTTGGAGCTTGAATTATGTCAATTTGGAGTTGTGAGGGCTCCCAGGGAGATCACAGGAGCGCGTGCAGTCAGCTCTCTGCAGTATCAGACTGCAGATGGACCTGGAGAGAGTTCAGGCAAGTGAAGTGGACCCAGAGGCATTTGAAGAACCCCTGGAATCAGGGAATTTCCAGGTATTTTACTGAAGCTTCTCAGTCCTCTTCAGGATGTGCTGCCATCTGCCTTAGGACTCAAATCCAAAACTCCCCAGTTGTCCCAGTACTGGACATCTGGTGGACACTGGTGCTGTGCAACCAGCTGGTTCATGTCAGAGGGGCTTGTATGTCTTTGTCAAGCAAGAGTGAAGCTCTTCTGATGCAGAGGATGCCGTGTGCTGTTCTGGTTTTTGCGGGGCTTTCACTGGTGCTGCTGGTGATAACGTGTCACTCTTGCAAGCGGATCTGCACGATGTGGGGATCGTTGTTGAGCTCCTGGCTGTTGTTTTACTCTTATAGCTGCAGAGGAAATGAGAGCAGGACTGATGTCCCTGGCAGGCAGAGATGGGGATAGAGCCATCCCATTCCACTCCAGAAAAAGGCAATGAGTTTGTGCCGGTCTCAGCCCAAGCACTGACGGTGATGTGGGTGCTGTGAATGACACCATCATGCTTTTAAAATTCAGATCTCTGTGGATTTTCTCCCCATACTCATTTTTCCATGAGCTTGGTAATGACTGGTCAGAGTGAGGGCAGGGCTAGAAGAGGCAAGGAGAGGCTGTGCTCTGATTTTTGTTTAGCTGAGGGCTCACACAGGTCCCGAGGAACGTTTGCAGCCCCCTGCACATGGTCTGTCCCCCCACAGATTGGTGTCTCCTGGGCACTTCCAGTAGCTCTCCGTTACTTTAACCCTTCCAGGCTCCAGAAGGTGCTGTTGGGAACCTGGCCGCCCCAGCTGCCAGCGCCGCCTCTCCTGGTAAGCTGCTGTCTCAGATGGATTTCAGCAAAGCCCAGGCTGGCGCAGAGATGGCTCCTGCTGACCCTGCAGCACTCCTGACCTCCGCAGCACCCGTAGGTGAGGCACATGGCAGTCGTGGGGCGCGGGCAGCCGGCCTGGGGACCGGAGCGGAGACCGGGTTGGAGCCATGTCGCCGGGTGACGTTTGCAGAGTCACTCCAGGGAATTAACTGACTGAATGCTGCTTATTTTTAAGCCTGTCACTTTTTTTTTTTAGTGGTTGTTGTTGTTCCCCTGTGATTTCTTTGCTCAGCTCAGCCATTTTTGAGCAGTTGATGAAGAGCAGGGGGTGTTCACCTTGAGCCTGAACGCAGAAGGGACTATCTGCAGTTGGTGTTTAGGGCCCCCATCACACACTCAGGCCCTGAGCGCTCTCCCCCTGCCCACGTTTATTTACCTTGCCTGGGGAGAGCTGACCCATCCAGTTACAGCTGAATAAATACTGCAGAGCCACTGCCCAGCCAGTAGCCTCAGACTTAAAAATAACGAAATGGACACAAAGCCATGATGCCATCCGTTGCCTCCTCAAAGGCTTTGGAAGCAAAGAGCCCGCTGCCAGCCCAGCCAGTGTTTTCATTTCCCTTGTTCCAGCTGATTTCCAGGCCAGTGGCCAGGTGAGCAGGTAGTCACTCGGATGAAGTTCAGTGCCAAAGGGCAAGCGAGGCAGCTCAGCACCATTTTACCACGCGAGTCGGCTTTCCCTGCAGGCATTAAACGCAGCTCACCAACCTCTGTGGACCCTCAAACTCTGCTCTTCTCCCCCAGGACTCACCAGGGAGGTGCAGAAGCACTTGACTTAAGTCTTCTGTGTGGTGTTTGGGTTTGTTTTGGTTTTTTTTCTTGTTCCTTTTATTATTTTGTTATAGCCAGTGGATGAAGTTAGATCCGTGCAGAACTTGACCCGCTTTCGCTGGAGTTTCAGGTGTTGGCTTTGCATCCAGTGATGATGACTAGTTTGTAGGGAAGCTGCTGGAGGGAGCAGCAGGGTGGACTGGGGTGTTAGGGTAGAAAATTTTCCAGACTCTTGGTTTCGTGGAGCAGTTGTTGCCAGTGTCTTAACAGCATCATCACGTGTCCGTGCCGCTTCCCCAGCCTGCGTGGAGCTGCCTGTTCCCACTGTTCTCCTGCCCTTCCAGCCTCCCTGGATCCTCCCAGGATGGTGGGGCTGGAGGTCCCATCCTGGTTAGATGGTCACTCGTCAGCCTTCACTCTGTGCCCTGCCTGCTCCAGGCACTTCATTTCAGAGTTCCACGTGGCGTTGGTGGCGTTGGTGGCACGCTGTCACCACGGACGGGCGGGAGGGACACCACGGTGCATCTTTGATGCCACTGGAGCAGAGGGATACAGTGCCGTGTGCCGGGTGACCCAGCGTGGCTGTGGATGTGCCACTTCCCAACGGAGCAAGTCACAGCCTTGGGCAAACCATGGGCTGCTCCAGGTTGAGGTTTTCTTTAACCAGCAGCGGGTCTTCAGGGTTTTTCTCATCTCTTGAGCGCATCTAAACCCCGTCATTAGGTTTCAGTGACACCTCTGTCACCTCTCTTGCTCCCTGAGCTGTGGCTGCTGTAGATGCAGCTTGAGGAGCCACCTCGAACAGGGTAACCACCACAATGCAACCTCTGCTGTTGCCGTAGAGCACAGAGGGCTTCGTTTCACAAACCCTGAAGTCTTTCAGCCACCTCCTGCGGTGGAATGTGATGAGGGTCTGAGCATCTCCAGTGCTGCTGGTGGGACAGAGCTGGAGATGCCAGACATGAGCAAGAACTTGCCTTGAGCCAGGCTGCTGAGAGCAGTGTGAGCTCGGTGTGGTCCGTGGCAGCTTGGCAGGTAGGATGGGGCGAGGTGGAGCCTGCTTGGCTAAGGAAGAACTATGATGTCCTGTCCCAACATGAGGGGACTTTTTAGGGGAGAAGATCAGACACTGAAGGAAGAGAGAGGCTTTCTTGGGGATCTGAGCAGCCTCGGAGAGGAGCAGGGTTGATGGTGCCCAAGTTTGGCTGTTGGGGTTGCCTTGCTCGGGCTGTGACAATGCAGGGGTTTGTTTTGGGGTCTCGCTCTGCAGACCAGACAAGGCCAGGTCTTTCTGTTCAGTCTGAAAGCCTGTGACTCCGCTGCTGTGGCCAGGGGCTGCAGCCCAGGGTGGGCACCACGTCCCCACGGCTGCTGACCACGCTCTCCCCTTCTCCACAGTGACCACCACCAGCCCCATGAAGACGCTCTACGTCATGTCGGACGCCAAGCTGTCTGCGCTCACCAAATCTGTGATGGGTGAGGCCACCTCTGTCCCCCTCAAATTGTCGGGCATCCAGCCTCCCTCCTCCTCCTCATCTGTCAGCTCTCCTACTGGTGCCGTCACCTTTGCCACCTCACCCCTGGCCAGCGTCCCCAGCCCTCCCAGCAGCCTGGTACACACAAAGGTGGGACCTGTCCTACAAACCACTTCCAAGACTGTCATCCTGACCTCAACGCTGGCTGCGGTGAAGGGTGATGGACCCCTGGGACACATTGGGGAGAAGGTCAGCCTGACCAAGAGCACTGCAGCCCTTGGCCATGCTCTGGGAGCAGTGGAGACCCTGGGGAGGGTTCCCTCCGTGGTGGATGACGGGAGCACCATCATCCACACCAGAGAGGCTCTGGCCAACAGGCACTTGCTGCCCCAGGGTGTGATGCCAGGAGGGGCTGGCACCACGCTCCTCACGCTGGGCAGCAGCCTGGCCAGCTCCTCCATCATCGCCACGGCGGGGTCCACGCTTGGCCAGAAGCCATAGGGACCTCCAGGACCCCTCTATTGTGACCAGGGACTTTGGGAAGACTGAGCTCAGCTGTGGGG